TCCCCCTCTGTTTCCACCCAATGTCAGTCACAAGCAGTTACTCCTGTGTCAACTCTGCGGCGGGCAAGGGAAGTGTGTCAAGATGACACCTAGGGACTGTCCATGCCGAGGGCCGGAGGCAGGACCTCCCTGGGATCCCCTGGGTGACTCCATCACCTTCCTGTGGCTCCCCATACTGAGCAGACCACAGGGCTCAGTACAGGCATGAGGCAAGGTCTTTGACATAAAAGGATATCCCCCTTTATAAAGATTTAAGTGTGTGTGTGTGTGTGTGTGTGTGTGTGTATGTGTGTGTATCAGTGTGTATGTGCATGTGCCTGCAGGTACCCAAGGTGACCAGAAGAAGGCATTGGGTCTCCTGGAGCCACCCAGTGTGAGTGCTTGGAGCCGAACCCTGGTCCTTAAGTGCTCTTAACCACTGAGCTATCTCTCTGGTCCTCTCGTTCCTTTCTATCTGAGGAGGAAGGCTGGTGAATGGAAAGAGTCTGTGTGCCTTCAGGAGGGGACAAAGCGGCCAGAGCTGAGCTGGAGCCAGGAAGGGCAGAGAGAAGGCTGGGGTGAAGACTTGGAGGCAGAGTGGCCATGGGACAGGCACAGACTAGGAAGTGTTTACCCTGCTCACCTCTTATCCCACCTGCTCCCGGGAAAGTCCTGCACATTATGCCACACACAGTAGGGGTGCTGCATTTGGGGAGCAGGGGTCCCGCCTGTGGGAGCCCTCAGCACCCTCTTCCTTCCTTCCAGACTCCGAGCAGGAGCACTAGCTGTATAGAGGAGGGGAGGAGTCTTCCAAGGCTGCACTACCTGGTCTCCAGAGCATCAGAAGAGGGAGCCCTCCCCTCTCTCCAGCAGGGATTTAATTAGATGCACTAATTAGTTGCTGGGTGTGAGAGATGGAGACGCAGGCGCCTGTGTGCCTGCGAGCTGAGGGTGGCTTCGGGCTGGCGGTGAACAGGAAGAGCCGCCAAGGGAGACTTGGCTCTACTCCGAGGGGACAGCGCTAGAACTAGACTCTGCTGGTGCTGTCCCTGTCCCTGTCCACCAGGGGTGGGCAGGCCAGAGAAGGGGAGGGCCCAGGGGTACATTCTGCTCACACACACTCACACACATTCACACACACACACACACACACACACACACACACACACACACACGCCAACCCTCACACAGATACACAATCACATACTTGTCTACAACCATAGAGTCACTCTATTTGTGCACACATTTGTACTAGATACTCTCACCCAGTTCTCTCTCTCTCTCTCACACACACACACACACACACACACACACACACACACACATTCACAGTCACACATTCACACATACACACCTGCATTCATACATGCTCTCACAGTAATTCATAGACACACCATATTCACTTGTCTACACATGAACGCTCGAGCACACATGCACACACACGTGCGCGCACACACACATATACACATACACACTCAAGTGCAGGGTTTTGTATGTTTTTGTTTAATTGCTCTTTCTTGCTTTTGTTTTAAGACAAGATCTCACGTGGCCCAGGCTGGCCTTGAACTTGCTGTAGAGCCAAGGACGCCCTTAAACTCCTGATCTTCTTACTCTTTCTAAGTGCCGGGATTAATAAAGTACACTACCAGCCTGGCTCAGGAAAAGCAGCTTTGACTTCCACATTCACCCCATCTGAACAGTGCTAGAATCTTCTTTTCGGCTCAACTCCAGGGCCACCCACCGGGCCCCCACCCCACTCCACATCAGCGCTCTGCCTCACACTGGTCTCTCAGCGGTGTCCTCTCCAACCCTTCGGCTTTATCAAAGAGAAAAGAAACTCCTTAAAGCAGAGACCCTCGTTCCCCCTGCTGTGGTGGCCAGAGTGGCCACCTCCAGTGTCCAGGGGCGCTCCACAGTACTGGCCAGTACCAATTTCAGGGGTCAAGGATGTCCTGAGAGAGCCGTGTAGTCACATACCAGGGTCAACTAACACGATAAGATCAGAGTGATCTTGAGGGAGTTTACAAAAAAACCTTCTCTGAAGGCTGAGTGTGGTGGCGCACACCTTTAATCCCAGCACTCAGGAGGCAGGGGAAGGGGCAGTTGGACCTTTCTCAGTTCGTGGCCAGCCTGGTCTACCTAGTGAGTTCCAGGACAGCCAGAGCCAGGGAAAGATTCTCTCAAAAGAACACAAAAGAAAGAAAAGAAAGCTCTGGCGCCGCCCTCTGTGTGACAAGTTCAGGCTGTGTGGGAACAAGTAAAATCTCATGTCACACATGCAGCCTGCTGAGCTCTGGGTCTGGCGTGCCGTTCCTGCTCAGCAAAGCTAACCCTCCCACAGCCCGGGCAAAGCCAGCGTTCCCAGAACAGGGTCTCCTGCCTGGCCTTCGGGCATGGCTGCCTCTTGCCTGCCTTCCCTGTCTCAGAAGAAGACAGGTTATTAGGACAAATTTGATGGAAATGACGCATGGATTAGCATGTGCGAGGCAAAGCCTAATTCTGTTTACTGTTCTGGGGTAGCACACAATTATTACAGGAGCTGGGACAGAGTGTTTTTAATAACATTCCTTGTTAAGATTTAATTACAGGAAATTGCATTTTCTTAATCACTGAAAACTCAACTGGCTAGGAAAAGAATCGTGATAATTTTGTGTGTGGCTTATTAAGTTCTTAGGATATTCTTTCTCTTACATTTTTCCTTTATTATATGCTTCTGCTAAGTGCTTTTTAACCCTTGGAGCTGCAGATACCCCCGCCTCTCCCACCCCAGTCCCTAAACTCATTTGTAAGCTTGGTGTCAGAACCCCAGAAGCAAAGTGAGAGGATGCAATGTTGTAATCCAGCCACTGGGGTGGACAGGCCAGCCTCTGCTCCTGTAGAGGGCTAGAGTTCGATTCCTGGTACCCATGGCAGATGCCTCACAATCGCCTCTAACTCCAGCTCCAAGGGATCTGATGCCTTCTTCTTAGTCTCTGCAGGCACACACACACACACACACACACACACACACACACACACACACACACCTAAAAAACAAACAAACATATTTTTTTTAAAAAAGGAATGCAGCTGAGCCCAGGCTGCAATCCTGGAGCCTTCCCCTCTCACAGATATGACATTGTCTGAGTCCCTAGCTAACAGACTTCCAAGTGTTAGGGTTTCGTACCTGGGGAAGGGAGTGGACACTGAAGCGGGTATTGGCGGCCACGTGTCCTCCTCCTCTGCCCCCACTTCCTGCCTGGGATTCAGAAAGTCTGGCTGCAACTGTGCTGTGAAACCTCCATCAGAAAGCTATGAGCCCCCCACTCTGTGTCACGGCCCCGAATCGTCTCCCTTCAGCACCCCCAACATGCTGTTGTCAATCTGCTTGTACGTCCATACTGTTTGTGGTTAATCTAGTAAACCCCTCACCCCAACAGTCCATCTCAGCATCCCCCTGAACCCTCATCCCAGACTTTTCACAAATTACCCAGGGAAGTATGCTGGAGAAAGAGCCAGCGCACTCATTCTAGCCTTTCTGGGAACCTGGCTCCTTCACGGGTTCACCTTCTGCCAGAAGCCTGCAGGAGCTCTCCAAAATGACCTTTAACTCTCAGGCACAGCTTAGGAGTCCAGGACCCACAGCTGTGTCCTGAGAGTGGGGGTCCATTGCCTGAGGATGAGGGCATACTGCCGGAGCTCTCTGCCCCTGCCTGCCTCTGTCTCTCGGGGCAGGAAGAACCGTAGGGCGTTGCCTCCTACTTGGCCAGATAGCAGATTTCACTCTTGCCGGATTGTGAGCTCTGCCTTGGGTGCCAGGGTCCTTTCTGTTTCTCCTGCTGTCTCTGAGTGTGTAGGTGGGGTGGGGTGGGTGGGGGGACAGGGAGACCAGGGCAGTCGAGAGGAGCTGCCACTGAGGAAGTGGGAGAACCCAAGGTGTAAAGAGCCACGGCCCATGAGTCCCTCCAGGAAAGCATGCTGGAGGGAGGCTGGCAAGCTGGTCACTGTGTCAGCACCGTGAGGAGCAGAACTTATAAAACCAGTGAGAGGTCGAGGAGGGATTTGTGATGGCTAAGCAAGAATTCTTCAGCTAAGAGAACAGCTCCCTGGCTCTAAATACCTGAATTCCTGAAATACCTGAATTCCTGTCATGGTGCATGTGTGTGTGTGTGTGTGTGTGTGTGTGTGTGTGTGTGTGTGTGTGTGTGCGTGCGCGCGCGCGCGTTGGAGGGGCCCTTGGCCTTAGTCACAGCTCCATCTCTGGCTCCCGGCCGCAAGACTCTCAGAGCACAACCGTTTCTGCACGTGCTGTAACCCCGAACCCTTTCCTTCGGAGATCCTCACCCCTTTGGCAAATGAGCCGCACTGTGTCTAGCATAAGGCTCCCTGGTGGCAAACCCACCCAGGTCCTCTTGTTCTTTGGGCAGGTGGGAGAGAAGAGTTAGACACTAAGCTCTGGATGGAAGGGGCTGATCAGACACGTCTCTGAGTCTTCCAACTCTCCTCTCAACTTGAACCTCCAGCTGTCTTGATCCCCCCCCCCCAGCCCCCAGTGGCCTCTCTGTTCCCTCTAAGTCGCTTTGGTGTCTTTGTTCTCCCGGCTGGGGAAAGCAGCCTTGACAGCGTTAACCCCGGTGGCAAAGTGCGGGACTTCAAAGGGGCTTCGAGGAGCTGATGGATAATAGATGTCTGGAAGCATGAATGATACATATGTAGATAAATGATGGATAATAGGGCCTGCATGATGTATAGGCGGCTGCCTGGTAATAGGTGTGTGGATACGCATGGAGAGAGGGAGTGAGACAGACAATAGACATGGGACGGCAGGAAGGACTGAGTCCGCCGGACCGTGATAAATACCTTGAGACTAGATAGGCAGGGACACGAGATGGAAGACCATCAAAGGGAACTTCCTGGACCCAGGGCCAGAGGGAAGACCCCCTCAGTGACAGCTAGGAGCTGTCCAGGCATCCATGGCAGATGGCAAGATGGGACTGATCTGAAAGAGCACCGTCTCATGGACTGATGATGATGATGGATGTGCCTGGAGATAACGAATGGCTGGACCTGCTGATAGATCAAGTCGTCTCCCTCCACCCTCAGCGCCCTCAGCACCCGTGCCTAGGCATCCCAGCTGTGGGTGCTGCTCAGCTGGCGGCCACACAGGGGCGCTCACGGTCGAGGCCCTCTAGGAGGGGCGAAGAAGGGACCTCCCGGCCCGCTCATGGTTTCCATGACGGCAGGACCACGTGATCCTCCTCTCTTCCCGCCTACTCCTCCGGTTCATAAATAATGTTCCTGATTGAAAACTGCTCCCCAAGGAAGGGCAAGAGAAAGGTTTCGTGCTAAGCTGCTTGTCCTGGGCATCTGAGGTATTGCCCCATCCCTCCTCTGCCGTCCCTGGCCATGCTTTAAATCCTCTTCTCTTCCCGACCCCAGTTCCTCTCTCATCTACCCAGCCGAGTTAATCGTGCTAGAAAGAGCGCACGGAGAGGGGCTGGAGTTGGGTGGGTGGAGCTGATGGGCCCTTCTGCCCGTTACAGGAGAGTAGCGCGCTAGGGCAGCCCCTCCACCAGCGGGATGGAAGAGCCGCATCCAGGGTGGACATCTTTGGGGGACCTTCCCCGGGATTCAAAGGGAAAGAGGCAGGAGAGGACCCTGGGAGGGCGGCCACACAGGATCCTGAGGTCCTGTGGGTGGAGTTGTCCCTCGGAGCCTAAGTCTGTGGTTTCCTGGTAGCTCCTGGAAGCTGGATGTAGGACCTGCAGTCATGCAGAGGAGACAAAGTCACTGCCTCAGAGAAATGCATTCCCAGGGCCGTGGAAACGGGAAACTCCAGAACTTTCTACAGAGAGGCCCAGAGAGGTTGCTGAGCATCCTATTGCCTGGCAGCTGCAGGCCTGTAGCTACCATCACACCCAGGGACAAAAATAAAAACCAGTAAAATTTTGCAAGAAGGGAGGAAAACTGTCAGAGAAGGCTCTTAGAAGCAGTGAACAGTAGAGAGGGGCAGCGTATTATAGAAGCTGGCGTCCCTTCCTCTACTTCACAACCCCCTTATTCCTCTGGAGAGTAAAACAAACTATTTGGTACTTCTGTCCCTGCCTGGAGGAAATGCCACCAAAGTGACTTTAAGCAAGATGGCAGGCAAGGCGATGTATGCCTTTAATCCCACACTTGCGAGGCAGAAACAGGCAGATCCCTGTGACTTGGAAGCCAGCCTGTTCTGCAGAGTACGAACCTGTCTCAGAAACACAGAGGTGGGGGAAGGGAGAGAGAGGACAGATGGACGGAGGTTGACCAGGATAGAGCCACAGGTCGGAGAGACAAAGTTCTGGAAAGGGCAATGCTCAAAAGGGCCAGGGTAGCCAAGGCAGGGAAGTGCAGTGGGACATTGGAGATGGCTCCGTGTTCCTAGGATGAGAGCGCTGTGGAGGAGTTACCGTAGAAGGACAGTAGGGTGAGACCGCAGAGGGTCCAGTTTGTCATGGAAGGGTTTTGAGCAGGGGAGTCTCAGGCTCAGATCTGTCATGTGGTTTGAGGGGTGTGGGAGTCTGGGGGGGCTACTTAAGGGGCTTCGTAAGGGGAAGGGGATGGCAGAGAGTCATGCCAGCATGGTGAGGACTGCTTTAAGGGAGATTCATGAAACATTTTGGAGATCCAAAGGACAGGACCCAAGAGGGAGGAAACAGAATGGCGAAACGGAAGTCCAGACAGTCCTGTGCGGGGGCGAACGGCAATTCCACATTCTGAAAGGTCACACGGAGGGAGAGGGGCTCGGGGAAGGAGTTCCAACTTGGAATGTGCTGTGTGTGAGGGATCCAAGAACGGCCAGCCTCGATTCCAGGAGCAGCTGGAAACGCTGGCCAGAGTCGATAGGCCAGGGCTGGACTCCCAGCCTACGCTATGGCTGAAGACCCTGTGGGGAACAGAGCTGACCGCCCAGGAAGAGGACTAAGTCAGAACGGGTGGAGAAAAGCTGATCGGGAGGCCCCGTCACCGCACTGGGAGTCGGGATAGTGAGACCACGGAAAGGGAGAGAGGACAGAAACAGCGTCGATGAGCATCGCTGAAGGTGTCTGTGAACTTGGCACCGGACATCTTATTAATAATCCAGTTTGGCAGGAAGCAGGGTCCACTCCATCAGAGGGTCCATTCAAGGACAGCTTGATGAAGGTGTGGGCTGGGAGGAGAGAAGCCAGCCAGAGATGCTAACTGGGAAGCTGAAGTCTGAAGATGGGATGTCCACCAGGCTGTCTGCTGTAGTAACACCCCTTAAAAACAAAACGACATGGGAGGAATCTGAAGGGATATAAAAACTTGTTTTATTACACATTTATTCATGTGTGGTGTGTGTCTGTGTATGCATGCCAAGGCATGAATTCTGAGGTAGAAGACAAGTTTTAGGAGTTGGTTCTTTCTTTCCATCATGTGATGGAAGGTTCCGCTGATTGAACTTAGGTTGGCAGGCATGGTGGCAGGTGCCTTTACCCACAAAGCTATCTCTCTGGCCCCTGAAAGGGACACCTGGTTCTTCTGATTCAGGAAAAACAGGAGGAGGGAAACCCCACCCTCTTAGGTGGTGTCAGCCAAGGAAGGGGGAATTCCTTCAACAGTCAGGGATGGTAACAAAATCGCAACTCGCCATGGTTCAGGAAGTGGTCCTGGTGGATGTCCGCAGAGCAAGCTCTTGTGAGCACTGCAGATCCACCCACTTAATTCTCAAGGCAAGGGAGGCCGGGGATGCGCTCAGCTGGTAGAGAGCCTGCAGAGCATGCACAAGGCGTGGCTTCGATCTGCAGTACTGCATACACTACTGTAGCAGGATATATCTGCAATCCCGGCATTTAGAAAGTGGAAGCAAGAGGGTCAGAAGTTCAAAGTCATCCTCAGAGTGAGTTCTAGGCAGCCTGGGACACAGGACACCCTGTCCCAACCAACCAACAAGATCCTAGCCCAGGCTGGTAGGCTCTGGTGTCCCCACACTGACCACAGGCTGCATCCTTAGTGAGGTCAATCAGCACCAGCCCCAAGACCCTGCTGTCTCTCCCACCGTCTCAGCCTCCTCCTGCCTGACTGCTCATCCCTCCTTGGCGAGACCTGCCTCTCTGTCTCTCATCCCAGAGGGAAGAGACGCGCTTCCCCGATGGTCCCAACAGCAAGGTTCTAAGTGGCCCAGTTCAGGTCACCATGCCCACCTCAGAGTCAGTCACTCTGCCTGCAACATGGGGGTCAGACATGGAACCAGGGAGTCCAAGCAACGGCCATCTTAGAATCCCTCTGGGAAGCTGGGCAGTGGTGGCGCACACCTTTGATCCCAGCACTCGGGAGGCAGAGGCAGGAGGATCTCTGTGAGTTCGAGGCCAGCCTGGCCTACAGAGCGAGATCCAGGAAAGGCACAAAGCTACACAGAGAAACCCTGTCTCGAAAAACCAAAAAAAAAAAAAAAAAGAATCCCTCGGGGAAGGGAGAGCAGCTGCAGAGACAAGGCTCCTGGGATTAGGAGGCAAGCTGGCAATGAGACTGAGTGCCGTGCTTCATGTGAGAAGGAGGTGAGAGGATGGTGAGAGAAAATGCTCAATGCTGTGTGCGTGTGCATGGGTGTATGTCAGAAACACAGTAGAGGGATGGACCAGGTGGCTCATCAGCTCATCAGATAAAGGCATATGCCACCAAGCCCTGACACCGATGACCTGAGTTTAATCTCCAGGACCTACAACAGTGGATAGAGAGGACTGACTCCTGAAAGTTGTCTTCTGTCATCCTCTCGTGTGCATGCGAACACACACACATACACACACACACACACACACACACACACACACACACAAAATTTTAAATATAAAGAACCCAGAGGTTTGTGCTCTCACACAGGCAAACACACATGCTCAGACACATGAGGGCACATATGCACGCTTAAATAAATGTATTTGCTCACCTTACACTCACAGACACCTACAGCCATCTGTATAGATCCTATATCAGGCAGGATAGGCAAAGTTATGCTGCAGTAACAAGTGAGAAACTTCCACAGCTCGAACTGCAAAGTTCAGTTCTTGCTCACACTCTGGTCCCTCATAGGCTTGGCCCATCACAGTAGCCCCAGGACACAGGCTGACTGAAATGCCACAGCTTAAACCTGCTAGTCACAGCAGGTGGAGCATGCCTCTGAGACACACAGTTAAACTCTACTGGCCAGAAATGCTCATTGGCCAGAACTGATCACATGACCCGATCACAGGGGTAGTCAGGCAGTGCTACCTAGAATCTGGGGGACCTAAGCAGTCAGTACTCAGCAAATTGCATTAATGACTGCCATTTCTACATATAAAATAACATCCCTACATATAATAATTATATAATAATACCATTCCTACATATAATATACACACCACACTTCTCACGGTTTCCTTATTTATCCTTATAAGTCCTGGACTCCTGTCAACTCCCTGTGTCCAGCCGTCAGGGACCAAAGCCCCCAGCTAGGCACCCGAAGTCATGGAAAGCGGCACCCCTTCTGTTTCAGGCCCTAACTGCTGCTCCCAGCCCTCCCTGTCTGGTTCTAGACCCCACCATCCACCTCTGCTCTCTACCGACTCTTCCAGGGCTCCCCTCCCCGGTCCTGCTTCCCTCCTGCCAAGAAGAGATAAAGGAGACAGCTGCGTGTTTATTCAGTGACACTTCACCACCCGACACTCGCGGGCTGGTGTGTTAGAGACCCTTCCCTTTTTCTCTTCACTTGCCTTGTGAGCTCACTAAGCATGAGCTGGTGATAAATGGAAGAGCTGGCAGAGCTAGGCGGGCGGGGGGGGGGGGG